CGCGACGATCGGAGGTGGTTTTGTGTGAAATTGATAGCGGAGTTAACCCAACTAAAGAATAGAAAAAAACAATTATTATTGCTAAATGCAAATAGTCGGTTACAATTGAATACACTTGAAAGGGAAATACAACACACGTCACGCAAGCTCACGTTAGGGCGGATCCCGAGTGATGGAGGTAGCATTTTGGGGGGCTTGGAGAGGTGGCGAGAAGGGAGGGAAGAGGTTTACAAATTGTGGATGAGGTGTGACAGTGATTATTGGCGGCTGAAATAGTAGGGTAGCAAGAGATGACAATCCAAACGTCAATAGTTTGCTGTTTGGGGCTGCTGAATAGTAGGAACAGAGAAAAGGGAGGGCATTGAAGCTGCTACAACGCCGACGAACGGTTGGGACAGTGAAGGTGGTGAGGCGGGAGGGCTGGAACGGTGATGTCAGCGGGTATGAGGCGGTTGGAAGGTTGTGAGATGTCGGAAACAACAAGAGGGAGGGCTGGCTACTAATTCAAATGGAGAACAACAGGGGTTGTAGAAGGGAGGTGATTGAAACAACGATGGCAGAAAGTAGGAGCACTGGAATCACAAGGAACGAGGGTTGGATTGCAGAAACTGCAGGAAGAATAACATTCACAACTGTTTCGGGCTACTGCAACGGGGAACGACGACAGGGAGCGGTGTGCATCTTTGGGGTGGGGGTTTTTCGGCTCTCGCATCACTCTTCCAAACCCGGGAGATTGACACAATAGACACAACCAAGGGATGATATATTTCATTGAGCAGAGAGCGGTCGAAGAAATGAACAATGACTCATCAGACACAGAAGAGAGTGAGATCACGAAAGAGTACCAGCTGTCAGCAAATGGGAAAGATACTCAATCGATTCTTGTTGAACCTAGGAGAGATTCCAATTGAGTTGATAATAGTTATTCTAGAATGTAATGAGTTTGAGGTAAGGGGTATTAATGCAGAGTATGAGATTATAGCGTCTTGAACTATCATTTTGCAGGCATTGAGAGGAACATTCGTAGGATCGACCCTTGATGTCTAAAAGGGCCATGAGTTTGAGGAGCCGATATAAGACACTGGGCCACCATAGATAAGAGAAATTCAGACTTTTATGATTTATAGACCTCTTCATGTGTTGCTCCTGAGGATGGTCCAACGTGTCAGTAATAAGGTCATTTTGTGTCATGTCTGGAAGATTATATGGAGTTATTTAGATATTAGATTCCGTTCAAAGGTATACTCACCATTAAATGTTTAGATAGGAGGGGTGAACCACCGTTTTGGGGAAGAAAATTTATTAAATGGGATCCATGCCCTATTAGAAAAGAAGATGTCTCTCCAGAGTGGTTGCTAGTGCGAGTGGCGCAGCTTCACATTTTTCGCCCCAACGTTGAGTCCTTACATACTTGTTTACCAGATATATCTAATAAGTACAAGGACTAGAAGAGACAAATTATGAACCTATGGCTCGAGAGTTATTTTGGGAAAATTTATGATTATATGCAGCTACAATTCAGGTTGTGCCAAAAGCAGATGAATATTTTTTCTATCAGGGTGTGCTTTTGAATGAAAATGCTAGCATGAGTGACTTACCAGGAAGTTACAGTATCTCCACCACTTTCAACATGACCGACCTGATTACTATTAGTAGACAGAAGCTTTGACAGATAAGGTTGTAGCTCTCTGATACCTGAGTTAACCCAAATCATAAAAGAACTGCAAATATTATTTTTGAAATTCAAAAGGGTTTAAACAAACACTTTCAACAATAATTAAAAAAAAATAGCACAAACACTAGAGATTCTCTAGGGCGAGGAGAAAAGAGGTGGGTTATGGCCGAACAACAAAGGGAGGATATGGAGGTGCAGTAGTTGGCAAGTTGGTTGGTGGATGTTGTGGCAGCGAGCAAGTAGGTTGGTTGGGGTGGCGACAACAAGCAGGAAGCGGGTTGAGGGTCACAACAACAAGTAGGAAGATGTTGAGGAAGGAGAAAAAACGAAGGTAATAACCATTGTGGAGTAGTATACAGTCGAAGCATCACTTGTCCTTGAATACGACCCTAGGAAGGGAAAATATGCCGACAACAGAAAGTTTTGAAGCAAAAAAATTGAACCTAAACATCATTAAATAACATATATACAGTAGATAAATAAGCGGGGGAGACCATTACCCTTGGGCGGCAACCCTAGCCCTGAAACAAGAGCAGTCGGCTTTGAAGTCCCCTATCTGAACCGGTTTACCAAATCCCTAACTGGTTCAACCCCCAGGGATCCCCACGTCAGAAACTATATGATCTTCTTCTACATTTCTTCTAGGGTCGTGAATCTCCTCTTGAACTGCCCTTCATGGACGAGAAACATTTGTCTATTTCAAATTTAATGTGGTTTATCTCTTACGCAAATTTTTCCTCCAAAATATTCATTTTATTGGCCACCATTACTCCCTATTTGGTTTAGGAACTCCTTTGTTCTGGAATCCTATCGTCGGCTTCGCTAATAGCTTGAATCGCTACTGTACCATGTGATATTCAGGCAACAATCTCTTCCTTACTTTTCTGATCTCACGGTTCAGTCGCTCGGATCACAGTTATGGCAAACCGAACTGTCGTGCTTCTCAGATCAAAGCTAGGGCAAGCCGAACCGTGCTTCTCAACTCGATTAGTCTGACAAAAGCTGTGATGTTTCTAGCTAGCTCCAATCGTGATTGTTTCACGACGTGGGGTCACAGAAAGCATCACATGTATGAAGCGATCTGATCCTCCGTCCACCCAATTAGCTCTAACTGCTGTTGTATTGCTTAGATGAAGTGGGAAGATGTGAGTTTTGGTTCTCTGTGTGCCGCGATGCTTCCTAGCAAGCTCCAATCACAACTACTTCGCAAGGTGAGATCATGGAAAGCATCGCCTATATGCCACGCTTTTTCCTTGCACTGCGATCCCATCCTTTTGGATGCTGCATTTCTGTAATTTCTACCCCGATAAAATCGAGGCTGTAGCTTTGTGTCACTTTCTGCCACGATCCATCATGACTATTCCCCAACTACAAGCAGGGCACTATCTTATAAGGAGCTCTGATACATTTGATAACGATTTTTGCACACAAAAAATAGTGCAAAACAAATTGATTTCTTCACTAACAAAAACATATAGAGGATAAACACCTATAATTCGAGAGGTAGGTGATCTCTCCCAAGCTCTACATTTCAAGATATAAGAAATCTATCAAAAACCCCAACCTTAACATACAAGACCCAATCTTATGGATAATTCTAAGCCTAAGCATATTATTATTATTTATACTAAACAATAATAATTAATAAAAGACTAAATTGCCCTTATGTTAATTTAAAGCAAATTTTCCTTAGGCTAGGCACCGGCGTAATAAATTATCCTCGTCAGGAGTTGATAGGAGAGATTTTATATTATGTATTTGCTTACAACTTGAATATTTCTTACATCAATAGCTCTTAAAAATCGTATTAGATATACTATATCCATTATATTGATTCCTATTAAAGATTGATGGTGATAATGCTAAGGATTTGTGTTACTAGTGATGTATTAGTGCTACAACAACAAGGAACCTTTATCCCACTAAGTGGGGTCAGCTACATGAATCCTTTTTCTCCATTGTGTCATAATGAGTGTCATATTTTCATTTAATCATAATAAATTGAGATAATTTTTTATGTAACATGCCCAAGTCTTTTTAGGTATATCTCTACCTTTCTTAACAAAAGTCAAATATGAAACATCTATTCTCCTAGTTGGGTCAGCAGATGGTCGGCCTTTAATGTGACCGAACCATCTAAGGCAACTCTATCTAATGTTATCTGCCACTGGAGCTTCTCCAACCCTTTTATGGATATATTCTTTTTTATATTTTGTCTCTAAGTGTGAAGCCACTCATCCACCTAAGCATTCTCATCTCAGCGACACTTAATTTTTTTATGATTCTCTTCTACAGGCCAACATCCTCCTCCATAAAACATTGCATTTCTCACCTCCATCTTTAAACGATACAATTCTATCACATAATAGGCCTGATCTATTCCTCCACTTCAACCATCCAACTTGAATTCTACTAATAACATTTCCATCTATATCACCATCACTTTCAATAGTAGAGCTGAGATATTTTGAACGTTTATTTCTTTTAATGATTTGACCACACATAGTACAACCCCACCACTAGATCTATTGTTACTAAAATTACATTCCATGCATTCAATTTTAGATCTATTGAAATAAAAGTCTTTAGACTCTAAAGTTGACCACCAAAATTTAAGTTTTTTGTGAACTATCTCTCTCTATTCTTATCTAAAAGACGGATATCATCAGCAAAAAGCAAGTACTATGGTACATCCTCCTGTAAATTTCCAGTAAGAACATCCATAACTAACGCAAAAAGATACGGCCTAGCTGATCCTCGATGTTCAAACATAAGTAATAAACTCTAGCATACATATCTTTAATGACTTGAATGTAAGCATACACCAAGATACATTTAGCGTTAGTGATTATTTAGTGATTTTTTATTTCTAAATTGACCTTTAGATTTTGCATCAATTTGCCATTTTTCTGTATCTTAACCTGAACCCCTTGTATCACTGTGGTGTACTAATTCTTCCGTCAAGTATGCATATTTCTTTATTTATAACTGCAAGAATTTTCAGATGAAGATGGTTTTTTCTAATGCATGTTTTGGTTTCCTGTGTATTTACATATCTAACACCTAAACTTCACATTTTACATTTATCCTACTCAAATCTTTAACATCACCTCTAAAAAACCACAATTTTATCTTTTAAAAACTGAAATACACCTTTTCATATATATGTAAGATGGCATGCATGTAAAAATTGAAGTTTTGGTGTTAGATATGTAAATTTACCGGAATTGAGTGGTATGCATGTAAATCTTCCTTTGTATTACACTTCGAGTGTTTTCTTAATGCTTATATTCCGTTAAAAGACAATATGAGATGATGATGTCAGGGATCTGTCGTTCAACCGCTTCTCAGGAAATCTGCCTCAGAGTTTCGGGTCCCTTAAAACACTGAAAACTTTGTAAGATAAAACCCTAGTTCTTGGTACCAAAACATTTAGCATTTATGTGCATGCACACGAAATTAATTGCCCTTTGACTTTTAGAGTTACAAATATTTTCACAGGTATTTGCAGAACAATCAATTTACTGGCTCTGTTAATGTTCTTGCTTCTCTGAAGCTTGATAACTTGTAAGTATGGCAATGCAAACAGAGCTATCGTGTCCTTTGATTTTATTTCGAACAGTTCAAATTTTATAAAGGTTCAAAGACTAATATCTGCCAGATTTTGTAGTTGAATTTGCTTTAACAGCTTATTTTGCCCATGCTATCAAATTTGCCAACTTTTTTTGAAGAGTTTTTACTATTAGCATTTTAGATTGTGGTTTATCACTTTAATTTATTTGGGTATTTTAAATATAGATAAACATTATAATAGAAAGTAATCTATGTTTGGAGAGTGTTATATGTTTACATAGACTATTATACTCATTCCTTTATTTGTTTTAAAGAGAAGCTTTTGCAAATAAGAAGAAGAAAAACCTTTTCCTCCTTAAACTTCTTATTAGAGAGGAAATCCTAAGCCTCATCGGCACACCCTTCTCTTGTACCATCCTATCAATGCTACTTGACATCTCGACTTGCTTCTTGCTCTATGCTTGTGCATTCTCATTCCTATGCATTGTTGCCACCCATGTCATTGCTTGACATTCATATCACATTGACTACTAGCACAATAAGCACTTGGCTTGTGCTTGCCTACAATTCCATGCTTGTTGCTTTAACTCAATCCCACAGTCTTGCACAGGCATGGCGCAATACTTCCTCCCTTGGGACTTTGGTCTCAGCTTACATTGCGAGACCTAATCCGGTCAAGATTTTTCTTAACCTTATGGGGGCAGGCCAACATTTCAGCTTTTTTTTTGCCGTGTCGAAAATATGATTAGGGTTATTTTTCTTGAAATGTTTTGATAAGATTGGTTGGACAGGTTTTTAATTTTTTGCTTTATGAATTTTGAGAGCTGCTCTTAGGTTTCTCTTTTTTGGGAGTGTTTTATCCTTGCTCTTACAAGTAGTATATTTGCACCTTATTAGAGTACATGTGATGGATCTTACCCGACACTATTTCTTCTCAACATCAAGCCGTCGTCCTTAACACCTTTAACTAGTGCTGACAGTCGTTGTCCTCCATTGTTTCCCTTCTATTTTCTTTCAAATCTCATGAAGGCATTTTCTTCTCCATTATAGACATTCGTTGACCTCGATCCTACCAAACACTATCTTCAGAAAACCCTAAATTGGTGTCATTTGGTACCAGATGCAAATCTTCACAGTTTGCTTACCATAATTCTAAATCTCTTCTTAGATCCAAATTTTACTTTTGCAAACCCTTAATCTACAAAATTTAACCTTTCTACCTCCACCAAAACCATCCCTTCATCTTTCACCAAAGCCTCAATTATTCCGACGTCCCTAAAAACTACAACTTTTCCTAGCTGAAACGCTAAGTGGGAACAAGCCACAATGCCATCAAGAAGAAACACACAAATGGGTGACCAAGAGCTCACAATAGAAGATATGTAGAGGAATATCATCCAATTGCAGCAATGACTTGCAAACTTTGAACTAGATGATTCGTGAAAGTCACCCATAGCCATATTATTGATCCACTATATTGAGAGGGAAGTTAACGTCTTCCACCAAGTGGTTTCCAATGATGAAAAACCAATGCCCGACCGATTTGGCATTGAATATTAAAGAAGATATAATGTATCGATGAGTTCATTGAATGACTCTAATTCATGGAGCAACTTTTTATGTGCAAATATATTCCACAAAATAAGAGCGTCAAATTTACAACTATCAAACTCAAGAAGAGTATGTCCATGTAGTGAAAAAAATTGAAAAACCTGCGACAACAATAAGTGAAGAGTAAGCTTACTATTTCATCTAAAATAAAGAGGGAGATTCAACACATACTTTTCCCTATCTTGTCGTCTTGATGTCCTTAAAACTACACAACCTACACCAGGGATTTATTTGTGGATGAGAATACAATCGAGTTTGAACAATCCATGTTGAAATTTGAGTTAGTGGAGCTAGGGCAGCACGGTGACATTTTACTTTTGAGGTTTGAAGCCATTCGTTGGTAATGTAGTTCAATTACTATCGTACTGGTCATTGTTTGCGTGCATGCCCTAGTTTTTGTGATGGTTGTGCATTTTGCGTTAATATAAAATCAAAAAGTTATAAAAGAGAGATAAAAATAAACAAAAGTTGTTGTGTGGTTTGTTTCTGCCTCCACACTTGAAAAAGTGGGATCACTAGTGCGAGTGTCCCAAACAAAAGACATATCTAAAGCATGTCGAGAGCAAAAGTGGGATGCTTTGTTACATTTTCTATGTGTAAAGAAAGTAGCCTTGAAGTTCATGTATTGAAATCAATCATTCAAAATTTAAATCGATTGTACAAATATTGTCTCATTGGATTGTATACAAGATTTCAATTTTTGAACTTCAAACAATGCCTTGTGGAGTTGAAATTGTAAATCTAGTGCCGGTAAGGTCCAAAATTTGATGTGTATTTCAAATTGATATTTAAATTTTCATATTGGCTTCAAGACATTGAATTTTAAAGGGGTTTAATTAGAAGTTTAACTTAGTTTTATTGGCGAGTTTAGAGTACTTTGATTCAATTTATCTTCATTTTTTGATCCTTAACTCGATTAGAGAGAGTTGTCTTTTATGGTTTGTCGCATTAATCGCCGACCATGATGATCCTATTAGGAGAATAGATGTTTTAGATTCAACTTATCTTAAGAAAGACAAAGATAGAACTATAAAGACTTGGGGCAAATTATATAAAAAAATATTTTAATATAGTAGAACTAAATGAAAATATGACCCTCAATAGGACACAATGGAGAAAAATGATTCAAATAAGTGACCTACATCACTTAGTGGGATAAAAGCTTGTTCTTGTTGTTATTGTAGTGTATTTTATTTAATATGAGAAAATTTTATTTCAAATATTTATTTTATGATTTGTTTATTTTTCTGTTATAACAATGTTCAAATAGTACAAATTGAAGTTTTTTTTTTCTTTTTTTTTTGTAAATTCAAGTCATTGAAAATTTCGACAATCTGCTAGCATCTTCCTTACGAAGGGTGCATTAACAGTAGTATTGTACCCACCCACCCACACATAGAGGGCGCATGATCAATATCGTGCGACATTGTGGCTGTAAAAGTTTTCAAACATACTCATCTATAAGTTGCACATGGAATTTGGCATGAAATTTAACCCACTCGTCTATAAGAGGCGCATGAGCCTTACAATAATTTGCATTAAAGTGATGCGAATATGTATTACTTTGCTAAGTTTGAACAATCTGAATGGATCTTTTAATTATTTATATTTAAAAAGAGAAAGGATGCTAATAGTGGCTTGTTGTTGGTAGGTTATCAGCCATTGTCGAAATCGGCCAGAGGTGATCGCTTAAGTGGTTAGGTTCGACTTGTGTATTGGAATTGTGGAGGGGAATTCATGTACGAGGTGGTTGTTGTGGGGAATAAAGTTTGGTACTTGGGAGTTTGGTGCAGAGGGAGCGGTGAAGGTAGTGGGGTTGAAGCGTGGGAGGTCTGTGAGCAAGTGGTTGGAGAAGAAGTGGAGGATGTTGGACGTGGTTGTTGCATGCAGAGGAGAAATTCGAGCGCTTGAATTGTGAGGGTAGAGTGTTTAACATGTAGAAGTGTGGAGAAGGATATGCGGACAGGAGAGGTGAATCCTTGAACGACTGCCGCGTGCAAACCAATTGGAAGCTAAGGCTTTGACTAGGGCTGACTGTTCTCTGGCTGGGGGAGACGCAACAAGGTAATGACTAATGGATTCTCGCATCCTATTTGAATAGGGAGGAAGATAAGGGTTGGTCGTGTGTGGCATGCAAATTGGGACCCAAGAATTTGCGATCTAGAGACGAAGGGGATTAGGGAACATGGAGATGCTTGGGGTTACAATTAACAATTTGAACTTTTTAACTTAAATATTTTCATGTAAAATTCAATTCATATAAGCTTAACATATGTATTAACTATAATTATATTAAATCTAACCTAAATGATAATAACAATTTTTATTTATCTTATATAATAATAATAGTAATAATAATAATAATAACAACTTTCATTATCTCAAATTTAGTGTTGTCAACCTCACAGCTAGGGTAGCATTGCATTTCACATTCATGAAAGGATTCAAGCAATATGGTGTGCTAGGTAGGCAGTTTTGATGCTCCAGACATGTCAATAACATCCATTTTGTGAACAAAAAACATTTGAGCGAGTTTAATGAAAATCGACTTGATTTGAGAAATATTTATGCGTCGTCACATTCAGTATTTATCATTTATTTTGATTTTGATTGAGGCAAACTCACATCTTTATGATTCATATGTGTTTGTCAACAGTAAGAAACTAATTTTCTAGCTTGATCTAATTTTGAGGTTGTAAATAGGGCTATTACTCATTCTTTATGTGTAATAATGTGGGTAATGTATCTCTTAGAAGAGCTTGTTTTTAATGTTAACATAATGTCTAAATTACCTACAGCTGTGTACTTCTTGTAAGGTCAAAATATTTTGAGGTTGATTTCATTTCATTCGAAAGGTCTGTAGCTGCTACAGTTCCACAGACGCGACACTGTAGCTGCTACAATAACCTAGGGTTTCTCTAACCCATTTTGATTCCCTACCTTATCTATTTACCACCCTCCACTTCCATCCCAATTTCAAATTACTTCATTTCCTATCACCCCTCCTTTATTTATTGCCTTTTTTTTTCCTACTTACCTAATCTACCTACTAACCCCTTTTTATTTATACATGTTGTTTGCTAAGGTTAGGACAGATTTTGATGAGTACAGGTTTTTGAGTGCTACCTTTGAGTCGTTCTTTCGCTCCGGGTGTTGTACCCAACAACAAGAAGGTGCTACGACTGTAACTCGTCCGAGGTGGTGATTGTCTCCAAGGGTCCTGGTGGTGCTCCAACTGTAGTTCGATCCTGATAAGACATTTGTCCTTTCGTACCCCCTTTGACCCCTATTCCAGTAGCCGCACATCACCCTCCTGTCTTTTTCTTGTTGTCCTCTAGACCCTCTCTTCTCATTTTAGCAACAGTCCTGCTGCCCCGTTAACACCTTCCCAACTACGGTTCAACGTCTCCAAGCCGTAGTCCTATTGGCTCCACCCCGGCGGCACCTTCCTCATTGTTGTTTGGTGCTTTCCATATCCGTCCTTGCACCCTCCAGGAGTCGGCCAAGACCTCTCTCTGGCCTGTCCCTATTGCTGTCCAGCTCCTGGCTTCTGTCACAACTGTTGTATAGCCCCCAGTGCCTGTCACAGCTGCTGTTTAGCCCCTGACTTATGTACCCGCCCCGTCCTTGCACCCTCCAGGAGTCGGCCAAGACCTCAGCTCCTGGCTTCTATCACAACTGTTGTCTAGCCCCCAGTGCCTGTCAGAGCTGCTGTTTAGCCCCTGACTTATGTACCCGCTGCTGTCCAGCCCTGCCGTCCACACCCCGCCACCAGTCTGCAGCTGCCCATGCCACCACAACTCCCTTTTGCCTCCATCCAATAGTCGTCAGCCCTTTTCTGACCACCACCCTTGTGCCCGTTTCCTAGATGAACATTTATATATTTTGTTGCCTTCTATCTTATATTTGGCAGCGTCGTCCTGTCCTTTTCGTTTGTATGTTTGTTGTCGATTATTTCATCTTTGCAAGTGTTTCGTTTGTACCCTTTTTGAATTCAGTAATAACAATTGTGCTTTTCATGTTAGTTTGAACTTCTTTTGGTATTATTTGGTATCAGAGCTTGCCCAACCCTACTCCTATCCTAGGGTTTTGAAGGTTTGTTGTTTGATAATGTTATGACAGATTTTGATGAGTACAAATCTGTAAGTGATACTTTTGAGGCATTCTTTCCCTCCTAGGGCTGTACCGAACGATGAGAAGGTGCTCCGACTGTAGCTAGACCCCGACGAGGCATTTATCTTTTTGCAGCCCCTCCGACCTCTATTCCAGTAGCCACACATTGCCCTCCAACCTTTTTTCCTTTTGCCCTCCAAGCCCTCTCTCCTCATTCCAGCAACACTCCTGCTGCTCTCGGCTCCGTTGACACCTTTCCTGCTACGGTTCAACATCTCCAAGCTGCTGTCTTATTGCCGCCACCCCCGTCGACACCTTTCTCGCTGTTGTTTGGCGCTTTCCGCAGCTGTCCCTGCACTGTCCAGCAGTTCACCAAGACCCTCCCCGAACAACCTCTGCCGTCGACAGCCCCTCCCGGGCCTGTTTCTGCTTTTGCCCAGTCTCTAACGCCTGTCTCCGCTGCTTTCCAGCCCCTGACGCCTGTTCCCGCTGCCGTCAAGCCCTATCGCCCAAACCCCACCAC